TTTTATATTTTATATTTATATAATTTATATATCAATAGTTCGTATCTCAACGAACAATGACAGAATGACTGAGTTTCTTTAAAATACAATGAAATTTCACTCAAAATTCTGTTTGTTTCAAATTGGAAGTTTAAAATGGCAATAAAAACTCTATATAAAATATGAAAAAATTAACTATCTTGAATTATTTTGTCGGGCGGTACATTTATATTGTATAACGAAAAATAAAACGTTTTCACGAGGATTTTAAAATTCAGTCGGGCGGTGATGAGAATCAAGGAATTTATTTTATGTTCGGCAGTTGGGACTTGGGAGCAGCTTGGGAGTGGCTAATTTTGAATATTTACTTAATTAATGCATCTATAAATAGCGTTGATGCTTCAGGGGCGGTAGTTCATTTACACCCAGTTTTGCGGCAGGCGGTATTTTCTACGTACCGCCTGCCATGCAGGCTACCCAAAACGTAATAATATTTTCTATACATCACAGACTTGACGCATCACATTTGGAATATTCATTAAGTCTTATTCAACCAAGAAGTGAAATTAAACAAGTCGTTTAAAAAAGGGTGCAGGTATCGAGCGTCAGTAAACGATACCGACACCTCTTAATTGTGGTCGCTGGTATCGAATACCAAGTACCCGGTATCGCCCATCACTATTGTTTAGTTGATGGCAGAATCGATAATATGGATCAATTTTTGTCGCAACCGCCATTGAAATAAACTAAAGTTTGACAAAATCCAATGGCCAGCTTGCAAATTTAGACTACGTTTACACTTGTACCGAACAGCTTTCCGAAGCGACGTGAAAAACACCTAACCGTACCTCTTAGGAACGCTATTTTCAGAGAAATATTGCAACGGAGAGAGTTGTTTCGCTCAGCTTCTGAAAGAAGCACATTCTGTATCGAATATAGATCGATGCTTTTTCATGCCGCTACGGAAAGCTATACTCCGATATAGTGTAAACGTAGTCTTAATGACAACGAAAGCTATTCTTGTGCAAACAACAGTAATGTAGACATATCACACGAGGAATATTACATGAATGATTAATGATAAACTTTATCTTACGAGCCGAGTACGGCAATTGATAAAACTAGAATAGTGAAGCGAATAGTGCGAATAGTGCGAATAGTCGACGACTAGTGCGAATAGTCCGCGAATAGTCGACGAATAGTGCGAATAGTCCGCGAATAGTCGACGAATAGTACGAATAGTCCGCGAATAGTGCAATAGAGAATTTGCAAGGCTTTCCACTGTGCTGTAGAACTAAATTTACCGAAGCGGGGCGGGGGGGGGGCTCTATTGACAAACATGAAATCGTGAAAACATTCGTTGATGTCAATGACGGTCATATGTAATCGGTAAAAATTACGGGACCACTGAGTTTTAACAAATATTTAACAGGAAGTAGAATGACAATCAGTGGCGCCGTGGGACCCATGTTTTTTTTTGGGGGGGGGGCAAGGGCAGTACTTTTCCGACAAACCGAAAAATTTTTCAAAAAGTTTTCCGGACGACAACATTTTAAATCTTCACCCCCCGTCGACAACTTTGACAATTTCCGACAGCCTTGACAATTTTCCGACAATTTCCGGCAGCATTGGCAATTTTACGACGGGTGTCAACAATAGGGGAGGGCCATGCCCCCCCCTGCCCCCCCCCGGCCACGGCGCCACTGATGACAATCACTAGACGTATGACGTCATTGACGTACGTCGACGAATGTTTTCACGATTTCATGTTTGTCAACAGAGCCCCCCCGGTAAATTTAGTTCTATAGCACTGCTGCAAAGCCTTGCAAAGTCTCTATTGCACTATTCGTACTATTCGTCGCCTATTCGTGGACTATTCGTACTATTCGTACTATTCGTCGACTATTCGCGGACTATTCGTCACTATTCGTCGACTATTCGCGGACTATTCGCACTATTCGTCGACTATTCGCGGACTATTCGTACTATTCGTCGACTATTCGCACTATTCGCTTCACTATTCTAGTTTTATCAATTGCCAGCCGAGTACACACAACAGCGAAGCCGTGAGAAACCTGTGCCCGTGGCCTTCAAATTTACATATAAATTAGCTAATTAAACTACAGTCTACACAAAATCGTTAGTATATTAACTTGTTAACACTATTCTTGTGCACATAATGATTACAATTATGATTACATATGTTGTGGGACAAAAAGCGATATCAGTGACAAAAAAGCGATGTCTGTGACAAAAAAACGATATCAGTGACGATATCGTTTTTATGTCACCCTGTTATCGTCCTATAATAAAGGCACAAGTTGACAAGTATGTGATAAACGGTTTTATACAGTATACCCTGCCAAGGCCAGCTTATGTATTATGTATAGCAAACCGCGCTGTTCTGACCCGACAGAAAACCGACACAAACGAGAATTAGCCGTTGACATAATCAAGCATGAAAATCATACCAAACAGACGAACAAGTACCCTACCGCACGATCCCTCATCGAATGACGGGACAACCCCCGGCTAAGCTACTCCTTCAGCGAGAGATGAGAACAAAAATTCCAACAATTCATCCTACAAAAGTCAAAGATGCAATGCAAGTCCGGCATAGTCTCAGAAGTACGAAATAAAGATAGCAGCGAAAAGGCTAAAGCTAACTGAAGAATACACCGACAAGACACGTAATCTTGTAGTAGGAGACGAAGTCCTGGTCACCCAGAAAAAAACCCCCAAGTATTCAACACAGTTTAGAAAAGATCCAATGAAAATCATAAAGATCAATATGGTTCCTAATCATATTAGGGGATGGTCATGGTAAACAACATAGTTCAAGAGTGTTCTTTTCAAGTGTACTACAAAACTTATTCGAACTTCACTTACAGTCTGAATAAAACTACATAAAGTTATAAGAATAACGACAAACAATGTCCAATTAACTTAGGCTAAAAACAGACCGAGAATGACCATTACACACATACTGAATTTTGCGACCATGATACCAGTGGCACTAGTGGGAGTATAATTGTTGCAATTATCGGTACTACAGCACACTCCAAAACACGATTTTGAATTATTCTTGCTAATTTCTTTCTCGCAAAAGACATCAGGATCTGGACAGAATTTGTCGTTAACATTAGTGCTGTCACAACTACGAGCAATTATCAGTGTCCCGTCACGACTTCTGGTGTAAGACACTGAATAACAGTAGCCTGTTGTACAGTTGACTGTATCATTTCCGCACACTTGCTGTGCCTTAGGGTGTGTTGATTTGTAATAACATTGGTTGCACATTAATGCGCTCCCTAAAAGAATGAAAAATAAAATTACTCGTACGTTTATGATTGCACGCGGTTAGTATTTGTGCGCCCACAGTTTGATGCCGCTGGACTAAGTTCGATCCCTGCAATTTGCAGTTGTCTGAGTATACTTTTACCTCAGTCACATGTGAGAAGAGTGCTAGCTAGCTAGCTAAGCCTAGCTTTCAGTTTGACTCAAACACCACAGGTTTCTGGTTACTCCTATTCCCGCCTGTAGTAACACTGAAGGAGCTAAGGATCAAATGGGCTAAACTGGACCTCTGCCTCTGGATAGGCCATTAGCACTGATAAAGTTATCCAGTAAAAATAAAGTTCGTTTAGTTTAAATAAAACTCTGGATCAATCAACCTTTAACTCTGGTCCTTGCTGGACCTCCAAGGAGAGCAGTTGAACTGATAACGTTATCCAGTATATTGAGTATAATAAATAAAGTTAGTTTAGTGGACTTTATACAGAAAACAGTTCAGTGTCGATAGAGCTATATAGTACGTCTATAAATAAATTTAGTTTGGTTTAGATTTCCTTAATATACCAGACTAACCATATATAATTATAGGAGAGGCTCTTACCGAAGAAACATTTCAGGATATTACAAAATTTAAAATTGCTTACCAAAAGCTGAGAAAGTCAGCGCAATGGCAATTGTGAGAAAAATTTTGTTGCAATGATAACTTGATGAAATCATAATGACAGGATACTGCTCAGACAAATCTAAAACAAAATTTGAAAAGTTGTCAGTAAAGGCCGTATAGGATCGGTTGCAGAATCATTCTTTTAAATCTTACTGCAGCTGTAATACTGCACATAATGCGAATACACAGAGAACTATAAATCGGTCCAATGAGTTGTCGCCAGAACTATCTGCCATGACATAATTCGTTCCTGTGTAGGCAGCGACAATAGTAAAGGCAGTGGTCAATAGTAAGCGAAAGGCTTTCGCTCGAAGCGAACGAAATTCTTGCGATGATGCTTTTCAGGTGGTTTGAATCTGTAATCCCTATACTGTCTATAGTGTGTATTGTGAATTAAAAACTTTCAATGGATGAAACATGCTTTATACGCCGAGTTACACGTTAATACTATATATATTTTACAACAAACAAAAACGAATAAACCACTAGCTCACCCAAATTTGCACAAGTTTTTAACGTCAGCAAGCCTTGATCACGTCTCGTTTGCACGTCAATACGTCTGTGAAAGCGTTACTGCATCATATGCTTTCATTAAATGTGTCATACAAAGCAATAAATATTACATTGCACCTGGATATGTCTTTCCTATTGGTCAGAATAGATGCCTGACGTCAATTAGATGGATTACTTTTGTCAAGTTCAGAATCAGAACTCATTAGGCTTCGACATGCAGGCATGTTGGTTAATCACATCTCATTGTTTGGATTTTTTACTTTGAGTGGGTGGCGATATTGTCTTAAAGACACCGTTTATAGATTGTTAATACAACATTGCTTTTTTCAATAATATCGACATCGCATCAAAACAATTACTTTTTTTGTCAGACTGGAAGTTTTAAAGTATATGAATATATCAAGGAATTAAATTGTTCAATTGTCAGAACAATTAGTTTTTGCATGGATGCCTTCGAGAATGACTCTTCAAATTTACAAAACAATATTTACATAAGTTTATTTTGCACAGCCTAGATTAAGTGGTTTGTACAACTGAATCTAATTTCTTATGGTTTGAAAATAAAATCTAAAGTGGGTACATGAACAGTGTAAGATTGAAACTGACTTCTAAAATGCACTACTTTTTCGCCTGTATTCTAAAAGCTCACTCATACTCACGGCAAAGACTGTGGAGGTTCAATCGGAGGTTCAATCTGAGCTTCCATTGAGTGTCAATGCTGTTTAACAATTAGACAACGAGGCCGAGTTGTCTAATTGTTTTAGTATAAACTTTAACATTAATTTACAACAGAAGGTTCAATCTGAGCTTCCATTGAGTGTCAATGCTGTTTAACAATTAGACAACGAGGCCGAGTTGTCTAATTGTTTTAGTATAAACTTTAACATTAATTTACAACTAGGCTGCAAACGCAATACAAAAATACACAAAAAACAT